ACTCCGAAAAATACCCGGATCACTCGGAACCTTTTCGATGTCCGAATATAGCCTTCCAATATATCGATCTTTACGTCTCGACCATTTCAAGACTCCTCGTCACGTCTGTGATCTCATCTGGGACTCCAAACAAACTTCGGTCATCAAATCATATAACTTATAATACAAATCGTCATCGAACGTTAAGCGTGCGGACCCTACGGGTTCGAGAACTATGTAGACATGATCGAGACACATCTCCGATCAATAACCAATAACAGAACTTGGATGCTCATATTGGTCCCTACATATTCTATGAAGATCTTTATCGGTCAAACCGTATAACAACATACATTGTTTCCTTTGTCATCGCTATGTTACTTGCCCGAGATTCGATCGTCGGTATCATCATACCTAGTTCAATCTCGTTACCGGCAAGTCTCTTTACTCGTTCCATAATACTTCATCCCGCAACTAACTCATTAGTTACAATGCTTGCAAGGCTTATAGTGATAAGCATTACCGAGAGGGCCCAGAGATACCTCTCCGAAACACGGAGTGACAAATCCTAATCTTGATCTATGCCAACCCAACAAACACCTTTGGAGACACCTGTAGAGCACCTTTATAATCACTCATTTACGTTGTGAAGTTTGGTAGCACACAAAGTGTTCCTCCGGTATTCGAGAGTTGCATAATCTCATAGTCTGAGGAACATGTATAAGTCATGAAGAAAGCAGTAGCAATGAAACTGTCATGATCATAATGCTAAGCTAACGGATGGGTCATGTCCATCACATCATTCTCCTAATGATGTGATCCCGTTCATCAAATGACAACACATGTCTATGGTTAGGAAACATAACCATCTTTGATAAACGAGCTAGTCAAGTAGAGGCATACTAGGGACAATATGTTTTGTCTATGTATTCACACATGTACTAAGTTTCCAGTTAATACAATTCTAGCATGAATAATAAACATTTATCATGAAATAAGGAAATAAATAATAACTTTATTATTGTCTCTAGGGCATATTTCCTTCAACAAATGCCACGCTACTTTCTAAAAGTACCGACATCTCTCTAATTTTATAAATGTAGAATGAGTATAATAAAAAAAGATGTTTGATATACAAAAAAAAATTCTATGCTAAACTTTAAAGTTGTCATCCTCTAGATAAAAAAATGTCTTGAACAAAAGTATACCCCAAAACCCATAAATTTACAAATGTCATGCTCTGAATTAATAAAAATTGTTGTGCTACTTTATAAAACTACCATCCTCTAGATAAAATGTTTTATCTGGATAAGGCCTAAAATAAAAATGTCATTCCATTAAAAATGAAAAATGGCATCGTCTCAATATTATAAATGGCATGATCTTTATAATAAAAAATTGTCCTCTCAATAATAAAAAATGCCATCCTATTCTTAATAACGATGTCATGCACTTAGTAATAAAACCAGCATGCTATTAAAAATAAAACTCCATCCTCTCAATAATAATAAAATGTCATCCTATGAATAAAAAAAATTGCCATCCTCTTAAAAATAAAAAAATCCATGCTATAAATAAGGAAACTACGATCTGAGGAAATAAAAAATCGGTATTTTTGGACAAATTCAGAAACAAAATAACTCTGAAGAAAATTATATAACAGTTGAAACATAAAATATACACAAAGGCCCTCTCAGCCCAGTG